ATACAAGAGGCTTGCGTTAAATAAATAAATATCTCTTTTTGATTTCGAGAAAGTGCTGGAAAATTCTAGCGCGTGATTTTAAAATCTTATAAAAGGAGGAAAACATCTCAGTTTGTGGTAGTTGCTTAGTTTGTTGTTGTTTAGAAAACTGCTCTTGTTGACTGTTAGCGAATTCGCGGATTAGCTTTCTTTAGCTGTTTTGAATTACGTTCTATTGGAACATTTGAGTAGTTAAAAGATTACTACCTGTGAGATATTGTAATACTGCATACGATATATTTGAGAAAATTTAAGTATTTTGTTCTGATAATAATAAATTTTTGTTCATTTTTTATCGGACTTGTGCATTCATTTCGTAACGAACCCGTACGCACGCAACAATTTTTGGTGTCAGAAGTGGGATTTGAATGCCAATCACAAGAGCGATGGAAGAGAAGTTAAGACAGCTGATATCAGCCTTTGCTGCATTTAAGGAAGAAATGAAATTGGGCCAAGATTCCGTTAAAGGAGAGATGAGATCCGTTAAAAAGGAAATGGAAGCCGTTCACGAAAAGTTGGAAGCTGGTCAAGTAACTTTTAAAGAAGACATAAAAGCTGAGAAGAAAAGATTGAGGCAGGTCAAGACGAAATGAAAAGAGAAATAACCTGCGTAATAGAAAGTAAATTTGAGGCTATGGAAGACAGAATAGGAGCTGTCGAAAATAAAGTCGGGCAAATTGAAGAAAAGGTTTCTTCTGTCAAAGATGAAATAGAAGATAGAGTGTCGGCTGTGGAGCAACGAGTCGAAGGAAGAGTTTCGGCCTTCCAACAACAAATTGAAGAAAGAGTTTCTGCCGTCGAACAGCAAATTGATGATAGGGTTTCTGCTGCCGTCGCCAAAGTAGTTGACAGCCTAAAGAAGTGCATAGCGACGGTAGGAAACAATTCTGAAGGTTTCAAATTTTTATCGATGCCTGCTCGCTCCGTTCTGAAAGTATCTACATATGATGGGAAGACCTCCTGGCAGGTGTATAGGACACAATTTTCTATCGTTGCGGATGCGAATGGATGGGATTCCCAAGCTAAGGCCTGTCATCTCGCCGCTTCTCTGAGAGCAGACGCAGCGGATATCCTGCAGACGCTTCCCGAAAATCAAAGGCTAGATTTCGAAGCTCTATCCGGCGCTTTGGAGCTGCGCTTCGGCGAGAAATGTTTAAAAGACTACAGCAGGCTGCAATTAAAATCTCGTCAACAGAAGCTAACCGAAACGCTTCAGGAGCTCGCCACGAATGTTGAAAGGCTGTCACATCACGCCTTTTCGGAGTGCCCGACAGAAACAAGGAAAATCCTGTCCCTGCAAAATTTCATCGATGGCATCCGGGACCCTGAAATACAGAAAGCACTGCGAATGGCGGATGTTAAAGATCTGAAAAGCGCTTTAGTGTATGCCATGAAATTTGAGGCTGCCCAGCAAGCCACCCGTCGAGACCGCCATCCAGTCAGAGCTGCTCAAGTCCAGGAGCCAGGGGATCAAGTCACTGCTCGTCTAGACGATTTAACTAGACAACTGAACGCCTTGAGACAGAATATTGGTGACAAGAAACCGACCGTAAAGTGCTGGAACTGCGGTGCGTGACGAATATTAAAAGAAAGCTAAGCCGGAAAAATTAAAAATACAAGAGGCGTGCGTTAAATAAATAAATATCTCTTTTTGATTTCGAGAAAGTGCTGGAAAATTCTAGCGCGTGATTTTAAAATCTTATAAAAGGAGGAAAACATCTCAGTTTGTGGTAGTTGCTTAGTTTGTTGTTGTTTAGAAAACTGCTCTTGTTGATTGTAGCGAATTCGCGGATTAGCTTTCTTTAGCTGTTTTGAATTACGTTCTATTGGACATTTGAGTAGTTAAAAGATTACTACCGTGAGATATTGTAATACTGCATGATAATTTGAGAAGGTTTAAGCATTTTTGTTGTGATAATAATAAATTTTTGTTCATTTTTCATCGGACTTGTGCATTCATTTCGTAACGAACCCGTACGCACGCAACAATATTTTCCGGCAACAATTTGAAAAGTGATTCGCGCATAATACCGTTTCGAGGCTGATAGCCTTTCTTGGCAATTCCCATTTAGGTTATAAACAGATTCAGATTTTAACGTCACTCCAAAGAGTTTGTTAAGGTATTTTATGCACTTGCTGAGTTTTCAGTTTACCAATTTGCTCCAAAACTCACTCCTGCTAATACAATTTGTTTTCGTATTTTTACAATTAAATATCGCATTCTTCACACTTACACCAATTGAAATTCAACAGCGAAATTACAAAATGTTTAAAAGCCGCATATGTTCAGAATTCCCGACTCAGTGTTAAGTTTTCCAATAATTATTGGAAAATAATTGTTTCTTTCCAGTATTTTATCGATTCATCATATTTATTATTCAGTTTTCTCAGTAAGATGAAACTTTTTTTTCATTACTAACTTTCTGTCTAAAATTTTCTGTATTTTCTGTATTCGTCGCTTTCTTCGCAGTTACCCCACATAAAATTCAATGCCAAAGTAAAAGATATTTTAAAACAGCTTATCATTAGAATTCCCTTTACAGTGTTAAGTACTGCCATATATTTTTAAATATTTGATAAATTTTTTCTTTACAAATTATACACGGTGAAAACGTTTATTGGAAATACCTATTATTTGTATTTGCGTACAATTTTTTTTTTTTTTTTTTTTTTACATTTGTCATATTATTTCTTTAAAAATAATGGATGGTGATAACATTTATTTCAACAACTTTGACTTGAAAAAGTGATACAGATATTAAAGGAAGGATGGAGACGTCTGATGCTAATAATAAAAGCAAAATATTATTATTAATAAACAATCTGTATTTGAAAGAAAATGAAGTGAAATATTTAATAAAAAGAAATACTCCACTTTTACCGTAATAAGGAATGCTGCCGGAAAAAGGTTTTGAACTTTGATCAAATGTTTGCAAATCATACAGAATTTAAGAAACATAATATGTAATTTCGGTGTATTTCCTCAGGCTACACCTTAACGGTATTTTAATTGTTGCTAGTCAATATTTAATGTATCAACGCTAGCCAAGAATATTGTAGGTCCATGTTAAGTTTCAAAATCTCAGAACATATTAACAAACATTTAATAAAACGAAGGTAGTTTTCAAAAGAATATACTATGAAAATTTGATGTTACGTTATCTTCAAAACGTTATACAAACATTTTGTTGATAACAAATTTCATTGGGATGCTTCTTTGAACTTTTCTTACGGTGCTGAAAAAAATTGAAATAAATAAAATGATTTATAACTTGCATATCACTTGAATATTATTGCAATAATTTTAAACTTTAATCTTCGTATTTAGTGCTTAGGCTTTACCACAAAATAGTTTTGCATAATGGCATTGTTTTGAAATAGCCAAGGCACATTTCTTGATAAGATTGCTTTTGATAACATATAGATTTTTACTTCTACTGTATTTTCTTTCTAATGTTAACAATATTCGAATAAATTAGCTTAAATTCTTTACTTAATCTGATGGTTAATAGTTTCGTATTTAGAATCTGCGATATCATTTTGATGGACTCTCTACATGTTCAAGTGTAGGACTTAAAAAACAAAATTGTTGAATTCTTTATAGTATGGCTTACGCGCCTGGGTAGATTCAAAATTAATTTTTAAATTCAAAATAATTATTTTTTATTATATAAAAAATTGTTTAGCAATAAATTCTTTTGCCACTTTTATTTATTTAGTGGCAGAACTAAATGTATAAAACTGAAAGAATCGTTTGCTTTTTTTTCTTGCTGTTTACTAACTGAGGTGCTAGCAAAAAATTCGTTAATGTTTTACAAAATTTTACACAGATAATAAAACAAATTCAAACTTCAGGCTCCGATTTTTTAAAGAATCAAATAGAAAGAAGTTAAGACTACGTAATTGAGATTTATAGTATTTATAGTAGTTATATATGTGAATTACAATATAATATATTATAAATTATATTGTTATATAATCGAGGGATTTGAATGTTTTAGTTATGTAGAGCTCTTGGCAGCGCCGCCTGCAGATTACGTGCTATCGTACAGCTGTACCTACGAATGTTCCGGCTTTAGCCATTCCGTTAGCAGACGTTAAAATGCGCCATTGAAATACTGAGCCAGCTTAAGTCGGCCGATTTATGCAATGTCGACTACAATACTCGTAATGTGAAATTTCAACTTTTTTATTTTGAGTGTTCGTAATTGGCGATGTTTATTTGTATGCAAAAGGCTTTCTCTTCATTGAAAGAGTAAATAAAGAAGATGTTTAAACCATCGCAGGATTTTATATAATATTCAAGACGGAGCGATAACTCACTTATCTGTGTCATAGCGTCTGAACAACATTGCGTAATTGCATATAACTAGGATCTTATAAATTGTAGATGTATTTGACAGTACTCGAGTAATTTTTTTTTCCTGAGCAATGCAATATTTTAAAGCATCTGCAAGCGATTATGAAAATTCATGTTAAATGAAATTGAGATAGCTCAAATTATTTTTGACTTTGGATTTTTCTTGTGAAATTTTCACTGGTACTACGTAGTTTTAAAATTTCCGGAAAACTTTCATAACATTTTAGGTGAAGCTATGACAGATCTGCAGAAGTTATTTGAATATAAAGGAAAATTCTTCAATGAAACGCGGAATAAAAATTATGTGTTTTATTTCATACTGTACCCAATGGGTAGTACATGTTTGATGTGCAGGGCCGGCATCAGAGCTTCATTGGATGGCAGATTTTAGAGGTATCAAAATATTTCTAATTTTTAGGAGTCAGTGGGCAAACAGAATTTAGGAAACGTTGAGCTTGAATTAAGGGGCAAAAACGCCTCATGCCAGCACTGTGAGTTTTAGAAAGTTAGTGTTAGAATGGAAGATATTTTCTAGTAAATTTACCTATATTATTCAAGTGATTAAATATTTTTGTTCCACTAAAACAATATCTATTTTCAGGGAGTCCTGTAGAGAAGTCAGGGTGGCAGTCAGAACAGATGTGAAGCTATTAAAGAACAGAGAAGTTCATATTCTTGAAGTAGTTCTCCTGTTTTTAGATGAGTATACCCTAATTCCTCAATTTGAATATTATTTAAGGACCATAAGGCTCATCTGGAGATCCATTCCCGATGCTTATCTTTCATACGAAGAGATGAGACATGTACCTCTCGTATTTCAAGGCACGTGTGACAAATGTGTGGAAGACATAATCGTGGAGTTTCAGAAACAGGATTTTGAAGGCTTTGCTTCCGTCCCACAACCCAGGAGTCTGATGCATTATTCCCGATGAACTATCAGACGCTCACTGAATGAAAATTTACAACTGCCACAAGGGATTGAACATTTAGGTCTGCCTGGACGAATGCAGTCCTACCTGAAACTCGAATTTTAGTTTTCATATTAATGTGTATGTCTTTTTTGAGATCATATAAACTGTCTTACAATAATTACTATGTTTCTGTACATTTAAAAACATTTTAATTCAAGAAATAAAACTTTCTGGAAAAGGATCCATAAATAGTACTCATTTTAGTCTATACAAGTTTTGAACTCATATCATAATGCTGTTTTTTGTTTCCATTACTGAACCAATTTTTGAGCTAAAATTCTTAATTTAAATGATAGACATGTATTTTTTCTGGAGAATTTTTCGGAATTAAAATGAACAATTCACAAAAAGCAGTAAAAAGTTTAGCAAATGTAGCATTTAAGCTTTTTTAAATGCTACACAATGCATAGAATGAATTAAACTTTTTTATCTGTTTTTCCTTTAAACGAGAAATATACCCTGGCTCATCGGAACGTTTCTCTGGAAAGCGAATTGTTTATTTTTTCAAGTTAGATTGGAATGAATTTATATTATCAGCTTCAATTCCCCCCCCCCCCCAGAACAAATTATCAGCAATTTTGTCCGTCATAAGCTTTGCAAATATTTCCAACTTTATAGGTATCAAATTTTACGTTTGAGTATAGCTACATAATTAATTTGTAGGAACGCAAGGACTTGCATTGAATCTCCAATAGCTTCTGAGGTAAGACTCGGAAAACAACATGCTAACTAAACAAGCATTTGATTCACGTTAAATTTAACTATTACGTACTCGTCGAAAAATACTAAGCATTTGAAAAAATTTGACTAAAATTTATTCTTTTATTTAGCATGGAATATAAAAGTAAATATTGATTTTCTTCAAACTACTCGTATGGGAGTCTCCATGCACTCACATACCGTTTCTCAATATTTGTTTGAGAAGTATTTGCATCATTGTGCTATCTAATAACAATAAAATCTAATTGTTTTGCATAAAAATTGCTAAAATAGTAGTCTGTTTTATTATTACCCCCCCCCCGTTTCCACTTCCAGACTATAGAACATGTTACGAAATGGCCAGCTGCGGTGAGACAGCTTTCTCGCAATGCGGTGTTGGGGTTGCGAGAAAGTGGCAGGAAAGGCTGAGTTGCTGCATTTGGTGCAAATTCGCTCATTTGGCAAGACGACCAAATTTGCGATATACCATAGATGAAACGAGAACATTCTAGAAACAATCTTAGCGGTTTTCTCGAGAATGCTATTTAAGGTAGATTAAAGTTATAAATTTCACGACTTCTATTCCACGTACAAGCACGCTATAGTGCCTGTACGCGGAATAGAAGAGTATCTAGAATTCAGTAAGGGGCTAGCTTGAGAGCGATTTATCAAGTCGGAATTTGTATTTCTGTGCTTTGCCGTGAAGCTGTCTTCACCGTTATAGCCTGAAGGTTGTGTTGCTGATTGTTTCAGCTTAATCAACGTGGTATTTCTGTGACTCTAAACGCGTTTTGCATAATAATTAAGAATAAATTGCATTTTGATTTGTTATAAGTGTTGTCATCATTTTATCTAAATCCACGAAACTGTACAAAGTGATCATACAATATTTAATTAATCAAATGAAGCCCGTTAAATTAAATCGCTAAATGAGAAAATGTCGTGTTAAAAGAAAAGCCGCGGGAGTGTTTAGAAACTTGATTCAAAGAACAAAATATGTTCATTTCGCTACCGAAGTTGGAATACCAATCATCATGGACCAGAAGCAAGTAAATCCGTATCACCCCTTTGGCGTGGAGCTGATCGAACAAGTCGAACATTGTGTAAAACCTAGATGATTGAAGCCGTCTTTCGTGCGTTGTTTCTGTGTTCAGAATTTCATCAAATATCACCGATTGACATTCTGAGTGTGACATCAATGCATTAGCTCTCTCCACTAAGTTAACCTATTAATTTAGTGGAGAGAGCTAATGCATTGATGAATGTCACCGATGTCATGCATATGATGCATTGATGAACCGCACTGATCGATATTCTGAGTGACTTATTGGAGAGCGATGGTGCTTATCTCATCTCCATTACGAAATGATATTTTAATTTACAAACAAGATTTCGTTACATGCTCTATTAGTTCACGTTGTACTGATAAAAAACTGCAATCTTTCACAACCATTTGATGTGATGTAAATCATCTAACCATATTCTTTCTTGAGGCACAAGGCATTTTCAACGTATTTTTAAAAACGTGGAATGGGAGCCAAGGCAGTAAATGCAGAATAATAGAAGTTAAAAAAATTGAAGATAAAATCGACTACTTTGTCTTACAATAAACTGCTAAAATCTGCTAGAACGCATTTTAATGGTTTGCAATAATTGATCTGCTACTCGGTAATTGAGATCTACTACACTACAGTAAAACATCGCTATCAGGAATCCCGGATGCAACGAATGAAGCTGTTGGTCCAGTACTGTGTCTTATGCATTTTGTGTTACTTAATAATACAAGAACTTTATGCAAGAATATGAAAACGAGACATAACAAACTGCATAGATATTTTCGAAAGAAACTTATATTGTATTTTTCATACTTTTTCCAGAATTTCTGCAAGTTTAAGAGCGTTTAATACCCCTTTCTCATGTCGATTTTTAATAACAGATGGCGCTACGAACGTTGAGCGCTAAAGACTCAAATCTGTAAGACTACCTACAGCCCGGTTACTATGGCAACGACGCTTCCCTTTCTCTGTACTCGTTTGGCGGGAAAGTGAGTAAGCCATAAAACACTTAAACGCATCCCCTCATAATTAAGACACAATAACACGCCGAACAAATACCAATTCAGAAGTCAAACAACAAAAATCAGCGTTAATTCACAAAATTTTCACAGGACTAGTTTCGATGGTTTTACCGAACCATCATCTTCAGCTGCAAAACCGCAAATGAACAAGATAGGAAATAATGTTTAGATAAGATAAGAAAGCCTGGACAAGAATAAGCAAGTGGCGCCATCTGTTGGCGAAACCAGAACTAAAACATAATTTCTCTAAAAGCCGAAGGCAAATTTGGATTGGAATTAGGATCGTTAACTAGAACAGAAAGATTTTTATGAATGTGAAATGCCTCTAGAAAATCCAGTTCTCCAATGGAAGATGTTTTTTTGAATAATTTTGGCAGCAGAAAAATTGAAAGTGTGATTTTCGGACCAACAATGTTGAGCAACAGAAGACTTCTGTGTTTCCTTTTTTCTAACATATGCCTCATGTTCTTTGACGCGAAATTTTAAGGCTCTCTTTGTTTGGCCAATGTAAATTAAAACGCACTGGCAAGGAATCCTATAAATACCCCAGGAATTCATATCCGGAATGGGGTCCTTGAGTATAGAAGTTGGAATTTTATTGATGGGAGAGTAAACAACCCGAAAGTTAAATTTCTGCAAAATATGTGCAACTTTATAGCAAATTGATGGAAAGAAGGGAATGACAACAGAATTTTTATAATCTCCTAAAATAAGAGTGTGGCTTTTAGTGTGTTGAGATGAGAATTTTTTAACTGCTTGATTAATAATGTTGGGTGAAAAGCCCCTGTCAATAGCTATTGCTTTTAAATAATTTAGTTCTTCATCAAGGGCTAGTTTGGAGGAGCAAACTTGAAGAGCACGGAAAACATAGGAATAAAATGAAGCTAACTTTTGTTTAGTCGGATGACATGATTTAAAGTGTGGTGGAAGGCAAACCGATGAAGGTTTACGGTAAACCGTAGTACTGAAGTTGGATGTGTTACGTGTGACCAGAATGTCGAGAAACGGAAGAGAATTTCAAGTCTCAAGTTCAAAAGTGAACTGAATAGCAGGATCAATGGAATTCATTGTTGAAAGAACTCTATTTAAATCATCTTTATTACCTTCAAACAGGGTAAAAGTATCGTCTACGTAGCGGAACCATGCCGGGAAGTTTAAAGTTTCAAACAATTTTGATTCATAATAATGCATGTAGATATCAGCCAGGATGGGACTGAGGGGGCTTCTCATGAAACTAATCCCTCAGTTTGATCAGATCTCAACTAATCCCTCAGTTTGCTTGTAATATTTATTTTGGAAAACAAAATGTGTTTGTTTCAAACAGAGTTGAGTGAGAGAAATTAGCTCATCAATTTCGATGCAAGAGAAATGAAATTCACGAAGTCTGGTTTCTAGACATCTTAATGCACCCTCCACTGGGACATTGGTGAATAATGATTTTACATCAAAAGAAACCATGAGTAAATTACGAGGAGAAATGTTTTTAACCTTTTTTACAAACTCTATTGAATTTTTATGGTGTAAATGTTATTGTCTAATAGAGTGGAAAATCTAGAAACTAAATATTTAGCTAATGGATACGAGGCAGTACCTAAATTTGATACAATAGGGCGGAAAGGAATACCACTTTTATGAATTTTGGGAAGAGCATATAATCTGGCACAATTCGCAACAGATGGGATAAGCGAATGTTTTAAGTTGCTTGAAATGATTTGCGAAGATTTGATCGCAGTTTTTATTTTGGATAAGTCCGAAGGTGAAGGATCTTTAGGGATCGGATTATATGGTCCTTCGTTTAAGAGTTTAGTGACACCATCGATGTAAGTGTTCTTAATGACGATGTAAGTCGTCATGGATCCATATAATCCGATCCCTAAAGATCCTTCACCTTCGGACTTATATCATCAAGTATAAATTCATTTATATATAATTTTTATGTCGCGATGAAATTAACGAAATACTTAAAAATCTAGTTATTTTTAAAAACTGTTTTCTTCCGCAGAATAACGGCAAATTATGAAACATTACGCAACATTGAAAAGCGTGATGAACAAATTTTGCGAAAAGAAATAGCGACTGCTGCACGTATCTCATAGATATCTTTCATTCAACACAAAAGTGGAAAAGTTCTATTCCTGTTCAAAACATACCCTGCAGTCTGAGTCACAGACGGAAGAAATGACAGCAGGTCCTTTTGTTCAACTGAGGGGATGTGAATTCAGAAGTCAAACAACAAAAATCAGCGCTAATTCACAAAATTTTCACAGGACTATACATATATAGCATGCACATAATATTCCATTTACTTATCCATCCATTATATTCCATAAATATGTGTTAGCACTTTCCAAAGCTTTATATATATTTTTTACTTGTATTATAAAATCGTATAACA